CAACCTTTAGCAAATGTTCATTTATTTCTTATTCAAATATGGGGGGAATATAACTATTTTTCTTGTACAGCAATGGTTTTAAAATTTTTCATGCTCTTCATTTAACTGAAAAGATCAAGGCATTGATAGAGAACCAAATTCTATGCAATTATTTTATAACTAAACTTTCACAGACTGGTTATGAAATCCAAAAAACAACTAGCAATGTTGCTTAATTTAATGTTATATTAATTTTAAAAAAATAATAAGTATATTTTCATTTAAAAAGATGAAATGGTTCAGAAAGGAATGAGTTAGTCAACTGTAAAGCAAATGAACTTTGTCTTCAAAATCTGTAAACCAAACCTATCATATAAAAGGAAAAACATTCAGGTTTTATCCTAATGCTTGAATTCTTTTTTTTTAAGATTTTATTTATTTATTTTGAGAGAGAGAGAGAGAGAGCACAAGCAGAGGGGAGGGGCAAAGGGAGAGGGAGAAGCAGACCACCCCCCCCAGCAGGGAGCCCAGCGCGGAACTCGAACCCAGGGCCCTGGGATCATGACCGGAGCCGAAGGCAACGCTTAACCAATGGAGTCACCCTATCCTAGTATTTGAATCCTAAGTAAGAGTTCTGTAGTCTAAGATTCATAAAAGACTTGGCTTAAAGAAAAGAATATCAAATAATTATATTTCAGTGAGTTTGAATATTAATGTATTCTAATATTTTGAGACGGTTCTCAATTTTTTAAAATCTTTATAATATAAAAGTCAATTAAAAAAATTAAACTCTTGGGGCACCTGGGTGACTCAGTCATTAAGCATCTGCCTTCAGCTCAGGTCATGATCTTGGGATCCTGGGATCGAGCCCCATGTCGGGCTCCCTGCTTGGGGAGAGCCTGCTTCTCCCTCTCCCTCTGCCCACTGCACCCCCTGTTGTGCTCTCTTTCTGTCAAATAAATAAAATCTTTTAAAAAAATTAAATTCTTCATTATGTAGAGATTGATAATATAATTTGCACAATATCCACACTCCTTATTTCTCATCCTTCTCTCCTTGGCTTCTTCCCTTGGTTACTGCACTATACATTGGCAATTCACCAGAGGATTAAAAGGAACATAAGAATAGTTCAGTTTTCATTAGTTAATATGGCCACATGGTAGAAGGTGGTGACCTGGGAAGTTAAAGTTATTCATGATTATCATCTCAAAGGTCTAACTTTCAGGTGACTAAGTTTACAATCATGGTCCCTGTCATTTGTTTTAAACAAACAATGGGACATACTGCACGTAGAAAAGAGCTGTATTTTATTTCTCTCAGAGTGCCTTGTTTTGGTTCAATATATAACAGGTACATCATAAGTGCTTAATAGAGGAATAAAAGAAGGGAGAGATGGAGGAAGGGGTGAAAACACTAAACAAAATGGTATGCAGTTATATACATGAATTCATAGATATTTAGAAGTGAAAGGGATGTATATGGGGAAAAGTGGGTAACTTGTAACAGGTAAGAGTCCAGCTTGGTAGATATCTGGGTGAACCCCAAGCTCTTCCACTTACTGGTTGAGTGATTTAAGCAAGTTATCTAACTTTCTGGAGGTTCAGTATCCTCCTCTGTAAAATGGAGCCAAAAATAAAACTCTTTCATAGGCTTGCTCCAAAGATTAAATATCATAATGGTGGAGTGTCTGGCATATAGTAGGACTCAATAAATACCATTATTATTAACAGTAGTATCATGATCTAGTCCAATATCCTCCTTTTCTAGAAAATGAAATGGAGACTTAAAGAAATGGGGAGGGTGGTATTAAAAAGCTAAGTCATACAGCCCTCGGGAGCAAAGCCTGACTAGAACTCAGACCTCCTGCCTTCCGGGCCCATAATCCACACTGCTTATCAGAAAAGCTACCTTGAGAAGAGGACGAGATACAAATGCTAAGCTGGAGTGACAATGGTTCCCAAAATTTCGTGTTTTTAAGCAACATGTAAGAGGGTGAATAAAACATAATGCCATGTTCTCTCATGCCCCACCAGAAGATACTCTGATCAAGTTAAATCACGGGTAAGGCGTTTCCAATAAGCATTCCAGATAATTCTACCGCAGAGATTCTGGAGTCACACTTGGAAAAGCACTGCTATAGAAGAGTAACAAGTGCCCTATTCCTAGTCTTGGCCATTAGAATCATCTGTGGAGCTCGTCCCTAATCTGTTACATTAGAATCACTGGGGTGACATCCAGGGACCTGTAATTTGTAAAAAGCTCCTCAGGTGACACCTTACATGTGGTCAGTTAGAGAAACAATGGCCTATAAACAGAGAAAACAACCAGCTTTGCTGAAATCAATGTAACAAGACTAGAAAGAGGTGGGATTTGTGAAACTAGAGAAGTAAGAATGCTTTGTGGGAAAAGCTCAAGGGCAAAGGTTGGAGACCTTGTCACAAGGTACAGGAAGCACGTGAGTCTTAGACAAATAAGAAATCTCTCAAGAAGGTGACTGCAATGACCTCATTACTCCCTGTCCCCAACCATGGCCTGCCTTTGCCACCTCTGTTTATAACACTCATCCTTCATAGATGAACATCAGCTCCTATAAACATCAAGCCCTGCTCTGACCTCACAGCAATATCCTTCAAAACTGACAATCAAAGTAGTTTGCTGAGTAGTTCAAGTCGGCTACTGCCATATACTGTGTTGCTTTAAGGACATGACTTAACCTTAGTTCTGACTTCTTCATTCCATTAAAGAAGAACTATTCTGCTTATTCATACAGTTGTTAAGATAAAAGACACAATGTGTCTGAAATCCTTTTTCCAATTGCAAAGCAATACACAAATCTAAGGTACTCCTTTTTTATTTATTTACAACTCCTGACCCTAGTCAAGATTAACCCGATTATGAGATTTCATTCAGTAGGCACTCAAGGAGGCGCTGGCTGAACGACCTCCACAGAGCCCTGCGCCTGCAAGAACACTCTAGGTCAGCACGGGAATTTAAAGAGGAGGTAGGCTGGTCACCTAAACTAGAAATGATAAACTTCACAGGACCAGGGAAGTTTAAGTCAGAGGACTGAACTAATTCAAAGGTTAAGAAAAGCTCAGAGAACTGTACACTATTCTACTGGGAGGTTAAACTCAAAGTCATCAACCCCAAACCTGCAGAAAACTGACCAAGAGAAAGAACAGATGTGACAGGGAAGATACGAAAAAGATCTTGAAGGAGCAAATAAGGAAGGAATGCTGGCTAACCCTGAGATGTAATGCTAATAAAGGGGCTAAGTGCCCTCATTTGCGTTTAATTCTCCAATAAAAAATGCAGAAGCCAATGCAAGATAAAGAGTTGTGTGCATAGTTCTAACCAAAGGTAATTGAGCAAACAGAATCAAACACCTCCAAGGTTAACAGGAAGTATGTCCTACGGGGAGTACCTAAGCTGTTGGTTCTGATTCTTTGTAACCTCCAGAATGAAGAGTCTTTATCTGGACTGCAGGGAAGTAAGACGTCAAACTCCTCAGATAAATAATGACTATCCCATTCAGCTTTTACCCTAGAAGATATGAGGCTTTGTTAAGTACTTCCATATCACAATTATTTAACAAATCTAACTGGCAGGTTTGTGTCTTCTTAGAACACATATATTTTCCACTGAAGTTTCAAAAATCTACACCAATTAGAAGGGTTAAAATCCTTGGCATGAGAATAAAACAAAAAAAGGCTTATGTACCACTTAGGAAACAGATTTTAAGAATTTCCATTATTGAAAACATGTAAGGCTTACAAGAAGCCATATTATACACACACACACAAAAAAAAAAACACAGCTGGAAAACATGGAGCAAAGCAAGTGGTTTCATTCCTAAACACAGAACAGCTAAGTAGTTTCCTTTTGCACTGACACAGACTCTAGGCTTTCTTTTCAAAATGTAACCACTGAAAAATGTAAATCTAAGGGCTGACATACTATTGGCAAGGCATGGCAGTATACATACAGGGGAACAGCTTCCCAGAGCTCCACAGCCAAGGTCCACGAGGATCATGCACACTGACCCTGGTAAAACCTCATTCTGTTGCTGTGCAAATGATCTCCGCTGACCTCGCCAAGACTGTTTAACATCACATACCCAACTTATGTCCAGGGTTTTTGTTAAAAGACAAAGTGAGAAAGAGCTTAAAGACCATCCACTCCCACCTAGTAACATGTAGAGGCTGTCTAGGTAATGCATGTCTCAAGCAAGTAAATAAATATTCACTTACATTTTAAAGACAAGTGAAAACCGCGGAGAAGTAACTTGTCTAAAGCTAAATATCAGTGTTAGGAATAAAGATCTCAACTTCCTGGAAGTCAGTGTCATACTGAAATTCCTAGGATATGCTGCCCAAATGATTTCTGATTTTAGACGGGGGCTGGGGAATAACTCATGTAACAAACAAACAAAAGAGATTTGGGCGATTTCATCTGTGATACCCACCCCAACATACACACACACATACACACACAGAATTAAAAGCAATTACGTGAGTGTTCCTGTGCATGAAAACTGGTAGAGAACTGGCATTGGCTTTTCAAACTTATGGATCAGCAAGTCAGTACTGACTGATAATTGTACTGTATCCTCCCAACATCCATCATGAAACTATTATTTTCTCGTGACTGTTTTCTGATGCAATTTTTGCCTACACTGCAGCTAAGTTTCCAAAGGCTCTTCCATTGGAAAAGTCAAGGAACGTGAACTAGAGAACTTCAAAAGATGTGCATTGTCTCAAGGAGATGCTTTTGTAAGTCTTCCAACAAAAACAAAAATGTACGGGGGCTTAAATTTAAATGCGATCAAAGAAATGCAGATATCACAGAAAATAAAAATCATACTAATCAAACCTAAGGTTACAAATAACAAAATGTACCAAGAAATCTCCAACTTTCACATAAACTAATATGAAAACTTTGACAAATTACAGAACCTCAGTTGGATATAAGTACCTGAGTCCTTATTTATACCTTAAACTCAGACTCCACGTTTCACTTACCTCATTTCCATCTGTGTCCTTGGAAACAGAGGACACATTGGTACAGAGGGAATGACATCTCTTTTTTTCAAACCAAAAATGGTACATGTCATGAGGGCAAAATCTCTCAGTGCTTTGCTTTCCTTGAACACTGCTATAATTTTTTGATGGGTCTTCAGAAAACCCACTTTTTTCAAATCTCTCTGTACCATAGTGAATGGAACTTAAGCTGGCTGCCTTTCGTAACATTAAAACATCAGTTTTCCTTTGGAATGTTATTTCTCTCCTGTTGGCATCATCTAAATGTTCCTTCCTCTTTGCACAATATGGAGTGCTGTCCTTTTCTGGAATCCTTTCCTCCAGGTCACTAACTTTTGCTTCTGTGTCCCTGTCATTAGCAGGAGAAGTGTCCCCATGGTAAGACAGACCTCTTGCAGCACTCGGCACCAGTTTCTGTTTCACACCATCAACTAAAACTTGTGTCTTCTCTTGCGGAATCCCATCTTCCAGTGTGGGGTCTGGGGCAGCGGAGTCCTCCCGTACCAGTCTCCTGGGTAAAAGAGCTCGCTGTTCTTCTGAGAGCTGAATGCCACTCTTCTTGCCTTCATTTTGCTTGTTTGGCTCTACTGACTCTGTCTTGATCAGCTTTCTCCTGAAATATTTTCTTCTGGGAGAGTATTTTTCAGGGCTCAAAGGAGTTTTGGCAGGATCTAAGTACTGTTCTTCTTTCTCGGCTCTGACACATCCACAGACATTCCCCATCTGATTTGCAGGAAATCACAGTTTCACAGATTCACTCATTTCAAAATCCAGGGCTTCCTTCGATCTTCTGCATTAAGCCTGAAAATTCCACTCTGACCTCTAATTCCTCAGACTTCGTGACCATCCTCTTCAGCATGAGGCCATTTTGCTTATGAGAAAAGCGCACGCAAGAAATACCATGGCATCTTGCCCAGCTGGGTCCCTGTGTCTCATTATACACCGTGGCTTATTTCTGGCCACCAATCCTCTTAGACAAACATTACGGCTCACTGTAAAATTAAAATGCTGATGAGCTTTCAAGGCAAACCTTTCACTTTATCATACGAGAAGACTCTGACCCTCACTTTAACTTTCAGTTTTCTGAAATGCAGTTACACTACCAAAGTTTGCATTAACCTTTGAAACTATTGGTGGTTCAACAAATCGGAGAGCAAACAGAAAGCAAATACCAGTCAGGAGTCATTTAGCAAAATGCCTTTCTAAAGTAGTTTCAGAGAGTCTCTAACGTATAATATTTTTCTTAAGAAACACCAACTAATTCTGGTACTTGCAAAGAAAAGGGGGGCTCAAAAATCTCTGTAAATTATACTAAAACTTTTTCAAAACAACAACCACTGAAAAACAAAAACAGGATGATTCAACAGCTGAAGGAGAGATAATAAATGCTAAATTCCTAAAATACTCGATAAAAATTGTTTCTAAAATCAATCTCATAGGGGTGCCTGAGTGGCTCAGTCGGTTAAGTGTCTGCCTTCAGCTCAGGTCATGATCTCAGGGTCCTGGGATCGAGTCCCGTATCAGGCTCCCTGCTCAGCGGGGAGTCTGCTTCTCCCTCTCCCTCTGCCACTCCCCCTCCCCTCGTGCTCTGTCTCTCTCGCTTTCTCTCTCTCAAATAACTAAAATCTTTAAAAATAATAATAAAATAAAATAAATATCATAAAATAGTTTGTAATATTTTTCATATTATGTAATAGAATTTTTCATATTTCATATTACATTTTCATATGCCATTACATCTTCCAAGCCATTTTCCTTATGTAAGCATTAGGATTTTCACATAAGCAAATTGATCAGTTTTATGATTTGAAGCATGAAATGCTTAGCCTCCAGAAGAAACACATAAACGTGTTTCTTATACATGAATGAAAGCAGTTAAACTTCGTAGGTAACTCTTATAATTGTACCCTAGTTAAATATTATTTAATTTTACTAGGGCCTTGCTAAAAAAAAAGAGTAAGTCAATATGGAGCCTGATTATCCAAGGTGTGCATATTTCTAAAACTGAGTCATAGATATGGTAAAAAGAAAATTAGTATGGCATGACTGGACTTACACGTAAGCAGGTATCATTTGACTAAGTAGAAAAACATGGTAATTGCCATTCTCTAGGTAGTCTTTAGACTGATCACAAGATGGAACTCATTATACTTTTCTAAATAAGAATATTCAACTAAACAGTCAAGCTAGCAATGCTGCCGATACTCGTCAATGATAGGCCTGCATGATGATTAATCACTGAAAGAAAAAATTAAACAATCTCTAATGGCAAAGCTGAATCCTAAAAAACACACTGGCAAAAACAAAGCCTCCGATTTGGGTTTATTTTTAATTTTATTTTCATGTCTTCATCGGCAATGGAACATTATTCATGAGAATGTAAAACCGTAATGGCTGGTATTTGTACTGGCAAGATAAAGGCTGAACTACTGATGTGCATCCCAACGCCCTTCCCTCCAGCTCCCTCCAAACTCACCAACTATCCATTCCCAGGCCATCGCACACTGCCTCTCCCAGAAATGGCCCAACTTTAGTCTTCGCCTGGTAGCTGGCATTCATCCTGCAAAGTCTATCTCTAGTATCAGTGAAAATGTCTCTAACACCTTCCTGATTCTATCACAACATTCCCTCCTCTCCATCCCTTATTTATACTGCAATTGACTCATCACCAGTAGATTATATTTATGAACATTCTCCCAATAGACACAACAACATACTTCATTATCCTAGCATCTCTGGATCTAGCATATGGTAGCTACTGATAGGGGACTACCTACTGATATTGCTTACCTTCAGAAAGCCTGACTGGAAAAGAGATTCAATTTGCGATGCTTCTAACAAATATTTTTTAAACAATAAATTGATCTTTTGAAATCACTTCCCTTATTTATGTAAAGTATAGAGAAAAAAAAAAAAGCTCAGTCACTTTGAGTGAGGATGATTACCACTGCTATAAATAGCCTTCTATTTTGGCATAACCAGTAAAATCATTCTAATCTTAAATTATCATAGTACATAGAAAAGATATTTCATTTAAATAAGAAGGAACATTTTTATTTTACCAAAACATTGTTATGTTCCACATTAAACAGACCTGGATCTAAATTCTAAATACTGGTGATAAATTAACAGTCATAATATCTTGTCATCTGGGTTCTAAAATACATGGGATTCCATATTATGCCATAGGATCATTAGGATTATATTAGAAGTACTTTCTGTGTCTGGTCTTCCCTTTTCCTCCAGTGATGAAATGCAAAGAGTTTAATACACAATTCTTTTTGAATGACCTTTTGCTTTAAACTTCTTCAAACTTAGGATCTAATTCCTAACCATTTACTCACATTTTGGTCTGTCATTTCCTGGTCTCTGCTCCCAGTCGCTTGGGAGTTGTTTCTTCCAAGGTCTCCAATGTCCTCCTTCTACGTAAAACTAGTTCTCAGTCTTCATTTTCTCACTCTCTTCAGTGCCATTTCATACTGCTCACCATTCCTTTCTACTTGATATTCTCTTCCCTCTGATTCAGCAACACTACATTTTCTTGTTGTTCCATCCATCTCTCCAAATGTTCTGTTCTTTTCTGTTTCCCTAGATGGATCTTCTTCCTCCTGCACCCCAAATCATGGGCCTTCCTCAGATGTCTGTCCTTAGCTCTCAGCTCTTCTCCACGCATGCTCTTTTCTTGAATCCTCTGAAGGTCCCTTCTCTCTGATGGACTCAGTGACCACTTTTATACTGATAAGTCTAAGTGTATTACCCGTAGCTGACTTCCCAGCTCTGCTCATATATCTCCAAGTGCTCAGCACACAGATGCACAGGATGCCCGGCAGGCCAACAAACCACCAGATGGTCATTCTTCATTCTTTCTCCCCTGACCATCACCCTGTTTCTCTCAGTTGTCTGCTGGTTTGTTGTTTGTTTTATATCCCAGGCTGAACAGTTCAGAGTCATCTTTAATCCTGCTCCTTCATCCTCTGCCCTGTTGCCAAGTCCATTCCTTTCTTCCTTCAAAATGTCATCCCTTGGATTCAGTTTTCCATCCCCATCTGAGTTCTGGCCTTTATCACTCCACTCGGAGATTACCACCTCAGCTTCTTAGCTTCTACCTCCCTAACTACAGACCCTGCTCGTTTCAATCTATTTTATGTAAAACTGATAGATTCAGTTTCCTAAAACATTATTTTTCAAGTTCAGATTGGTTAAGGGATGTACCCAATGTCATCAACTGCCATAAGTAAGAGTCAATGGAGCCACTTAAGCTCTGCCTCCTGCCACAGCCTGGGTGCTTTCCTCGGCCCCAAGTGCTCAAAGTCCAGACACAGCCTGTCTCACAGCTCTGTTGGTAATGTTGGGACCGGCTTCCTGCTCCAATAGGCCTTTAATCTTCCCATGTGGAGTTCCTGCAGTTTCAACCCTGCTCAAAGTTCTGGGACCTGATCCACTGAGGACTGATTAAAGGATCCCTGAAAATGCTGCTGAGGACATCCATATGAAATCTGCTTTTCAGCCAGCAGTTCTACTTAGTCTTTACCCAATTCTAGAAACAAGGTCTGGCTCCATGCCCAAATCCCTGCCTTGGTTTAGTGCTCAGTCCCCTGGTTCCCTGAGGAAGGGGTGCTCTAGTAATGGGGGCCCTCAGATCTTTAGGGTCCTGCCCCCAGCCCCTGTTACTAGATCTCCCTGATAGCAAAAGCCCAGCTGAGGGAACATTTACCTGTATTAGCTAGCCTGATAGTCTGGCTGGTGACACCTCGTTGCCGGAGTCTCCTGCAAACTCCTACTGCTACAATTTTGATCAGCTGCCTGTTCAGGTCCTGGAAACTACCTAGATTCTAATTCCTACAGCTCTCCAGCCCTGTCAGATTTATCCTGTTCCCAAATGAGCTCCAGGCACACTATTTTCCTTAAATCCCAGAAAATTTTTACAAATTAAGAAATAAGTCTTACTCCTCTCATGATTTGGTTTAAAACCTCAGCCCCTTTCTGAAGCTGGCAATCTACCTCTTCCTCCTTCAAGGTTTAACTGAACAGTAGTCAATCAGTATGATTTGCTGCATGCCTACTATGGGTCAGGCTCTGAGTTGCACATAGAACACTGCATAAGCAGGAAAGTGGGTAATAAACTAAAGCACGTTCCTGAGTTAGAATTCACCTTAAATCGAATAAAGATGATTTTTTCAAAATGCATCGTTTTACAAAAAAGTAAAACTCCAAATCAGCCCTCAATGAGCACAGATGGATTAGATAAATCATAGTAAATTAATCTGCATTTACTCAGGGCACCTGGGTGGCTCAGTCGGTTAAGCCTCAGACTCTTGGTACCTGATCTCCCAGTGGTGGGACCAAGCTCCTCCCGGGCTCCACGCTCAGTATGGAGTCTGCTTCAGATTCATTCACCCTCACCTTCTGCCCCTCCCTGCTCCTGCGCACGCTCTCTCTCTCAAATAAATAAATTCAATCCTTAAAAAAAAATAAATCTGAATTTACGCTTCCCAAATCTAGTTTGAGAAAGCACAGCTCTACACAAAATACAGCTACTTCTAATTCAGGAGATCCCTTTATGAAAATTATACTGCCATCTAGTGTCTGTCAACAGGAAAAAGTAGTTCTCTTCTGAGAAACAATACTAACAAAAACCCCATTCTAAGTAAAGAATGAATCACAAAATGTTCACGTATCTAAGCCAAGTGATACTGTCCAATAAACAAAAGAAATGTGTCTGC